TGCAGAAACCTGTTGACCACGTGAAGCAGATTCCTCTGGCCTTGGGATCCTGCAGGACTTGGGGCACATGGGAGGCCTTGCGGATAAGGACGAAGTTCAGAAGTACTTGTTAGGGTGCAGGCAGTCCTTGTTCCTGATGCTTGGGACCTTCCCTCTCTACTGTCCAGTCCTGTCTGTCTGCGGCTGCAATGACTTCCTCCCCACCTGCCCTTTTTCTTCTCATCTCTTACTCGAAAGCTGTGGGAGGCAGTGGGCAGCACAGGTCTGGTTCATTCATTCTCAGTCAGTGGTGCAGGTCATTGCTGGAGGCACGGGCACCGGCCTGGTGGTGAGAACTGGAGCCCCTACCAGTGTCCCCAGGCGGCTGCAGCTGGAGGGACGGCCGATGCCCTTGGTCCTGAGCAGCAGTTACAGTGCTCGAAGTTATTGTAATGGTTATCTCATTAAAACCAGCATTGTACCCCCTTTTCTCAGACAAAGCCAAGCGATGTATATGTCACCAACAGCTAAGTGTCACTTTTAAGGATGGTGGTCTATTTTCTATTAATCTGTCAGTGCCTGGTAGTACATTGTGTATGTGGTGGGCTCAAAGAGAGCTTGAATGTGGAGTGATTCTTTCCAGAAAGTATCTGGCAAAAAGTTTTAGATAGGGAAAGAAATAATTTCATCTTTGTTTCTCTATTTCATCTTTATTTCCTTACCCCCAATCATTTTTCCTGGTACTTGAGACACTGTAAAGTTTTATGGGGAAACTTCTGGGGTCAGTGACCTTTGCAGCTCATAATGTGGCATGGCGGGGCCTGCGGGAGCATAGAGGTCATGGTGTCCTCCTCAAGGGTCAACCACGTGGGTAAGTAAGACAGTGACACCCAGGACAGTTAGGTGGTGCTCAGCTGTGTGTCCTCCCACTGTTTCTGAATGGGCTCACCATGGAGACCTAACCCCAGAGCTGAGCTCTCAACCCTGTCTACATGCTTGGACCACTCAGCAATTCCTCCTGCAGAGAATGTGCCTTAGGACTTGAGGGAAGCAAGTGTCACAGAGAGGCCTGGAGTGGAGACGGTGCTAGGATTTGCCCAGGAGGAAAGGCAGGGAAGGCTGGGTTTCCTGGGAAGAGAGCAGCCCAGGTGAGCATGGGAGGGGTTCCGAGATGCTCGCCAGAGCACACTCCACTGAGCAGATGGGATAGACCGGTGAGAACTGCAGGGCTGCTCAGGAGAGCTGGGTCCTGCTGTGTCCATCTCACTGGGATCCTGGCTTGAAGGCCAGGGCTTTCTCCCCCAGAAGGGAGAGTGCGTGTCCCCCCGGGGTACTGTCAGTTCTAAAATGGCGTGTTCTCTCTAGTCAGTGATTGGATCACCTTCTGAACGCTGAATGTGCGACGGGATCCAAGAGGAATGGGAGACACAACGCCTTCGCCCAAAGTCTGGGGAGATGACGAAATACCTTACACGTGGAGCGTGTCTGTTTTCTCTGTTTGTATATTTGGGGTATTTGCTCTCAGAATATCAAGTTTACCATCTTAGTGACTATTTTATTTTCTAACCAGACAGCAAACACAAAACGTACAAGTGGCTCTGAGTGAAAGCCAGTATGTGTCTGCACGTCGCAGGCCTGAGAAAAGTAGGTGGATTAGTAAAGAGAAAACGGGTGATTGCAGCCATATCCCAAGCCTGGCATTTCTTACCCAGACAGTGGCTTGTCTAGCCCTAGACTGATCAGCAAAGCTCTGAAATAGGAGAACTTTGAAGACTCCTGTCCTACGTTGGCCTTCTAACTTGTAAGCTGGCTCCACTGAAGACCCCTCGTGGAGAAGAGCAGATGACCACTTCCTCTGCACAGTAAAGGACGGAAACAAGCCCCGCAGTTCTCCATTCAGATAGGTTTTACTCCTTGATGTGGGAGGTAAGTCTCATTTGTAGCTGACTGCATATGCAGAACCCCGGACGACACACAGTTGTGAGATTGGGTTTTCTGTAAGTGAGATGTGTGGGAAAATACCACCTCTTTTTTCTGGCATGTGACTGAACGGCTGATGGGAAAGACTGGGCTCTGAGTTTGCCTAGGGTGTGGAACCTCCACTGCTGGTGAGGTAAGTGACACAGCTGAAGACCGCCAGCGCCCAGGACACCGACCGCGCGTCACACACCTCCACGTCTGCCGAGCTCGGCGCTGTCAGGGTCACGGAGCCAAACTCAGATTTAAAGACGCTGGTGTTGAGTGTTCAGTGCAGTGCGTCACTCCCCTGAGACATCAGCAGTTGTTTCTCAAATGTTACACTTGTTCACAAGCTGTGCTGTTTAAAAATCACGTCAAAATTGTTAGGTGTGATCCTGCTAGAGGCAGGGAGTGGAGGACTAGTAGCAAGGAGTCTCAGTACTTCCCACCCGTATTTACACAGGATCCGCTGTCTTCTTCCTTCCAAGGTGGAAAGAAGCTGAGCGTGTGCCTTGGATAATGTTTACTGCTGAGTTTCTGTTGGAGTTTGCGAACCAGAACCGGAGGGTGAGCCCAGGCTGCAGCCAGGGGAGCCTGCGGGTGCTGGGGCCACGGGTTCCCTCCCACCTTCTCTCCCACCACTTCAAATGCAGATTTTGAAGTAAAGTGCCACATAACAGTTTCTTAACAGCAGCTTCCTGGGACCCCCTCCCTGGAAAGGGATCCATGTATTTGGGAATCCAGAAGCTTCCTGCTGGGTCCTTTCCCTAGAGACCCCTCGAGGGGTGGGCCTGCCTGTGAGTGCTCTCCCCGCCCCCCACCCGGGCTCCGCTCCGTGAACCTCGTGCTCACTGCACTTTCCTCCTGCAGGGCAGGGCTGCAGGGACACTCCGTGTGGGTGCAAAGCATGGACACAGTTGGTCCTTGTCGTTTTCCTTCACTCAGCGGTCACAGAACATTAGAGAGGAGGGGGTCTCGGACCCACCAGGCCCCCTTGTTCATCTGACGGGCGAGCAGATGGGTTCTTGAATGAAGCGCTTGCCCAAGACCAAAATGACCACCGGGTCTAGGGCTTCAGTCTCCTCTCAGCTCAGTCGTTAAATTTGATTCTGAGAAGCCTGCTGGGGGTGTGGTGGGTGTCCTCCGGAGGGCTGTTAACAGGAGTTGTGTCAGTAGACATCCCATGCAGGTCTGCCAAGGCCATGTGCACAGACTACTAAGCATTCCTTCCCAGCTCCAAGATCTGCTGCACGCTATTCATCATAGCTTAGTTAAACAGCTCCGGAAATAACATTTGTTTCTTTTTTATCCAAAGGATGGGGGTGTGTGACTGGTGCACTAGATGAGAACTGGGGGCCTGCACTTAGCCGAGTCTTGCTGCAGTGCCGTGGTGTCTTACTTCCAGAAAGCAATCGAGCACCTTTTTTGAGTGCCTGCTGTGCCCAGTGCTGTAGGGGATTCAGAAGTTTTATAAGAGGAACTTGAGACTTAATTTGGAAAACCTCTAATATGCAAACTATACAATGTAGGCTATCTGAAGTCCTAGTGTTTCTCAAGAATGAATTTCTGTGCTTGGTGTGGGTGGGTGAGAATCTGTTAAAAGTGCCCTTCCTAGACCAGCACGCTCATCATGGTCTCCAGTGGCCGGTGCTCCTGTTTGAGGAGGAATGCTCCTAGGAACTCGAGAGCAGGGTTTCATGTGAGGGTTTGGGGGCGGTCCTTGCAGCTCCAGAGTTCTATCGATGAAATACAGGTTCATAATGCTCCCGATTCATTGGAGCCAGGCTCCTGAGGAAAGGCACCGTGTGTCTCTTTTCCTAGCACAATGACTGCCGCTCAGGTACTGAGAAATGGTGTCCGAACAACTACAGTTGTGAAAACCTCTACAGTAGTGTATTCTTAACATGTTTCATTTCAGGAGTATCTCAATGAGTGCATGCTCCTTAAAGGTTGGAGGGAAAGTGGGAATGGGAGGAGAGCCAGCATCTGGGGTAACACTTGGTGCTGTGCTTGATTGAGGAAGAGTGCGCGTGGGTGTCCTGCCTCAGTCTATACTGAAAGAGAGGGCAACCTTTCAGTTCACTTGCTTGGGGCTCAGAACTTTAAGCACTGGATGTCGTAGTGTTTGATGACTCTGTCTTCCAGTGAGCAGTTGACATTTCTACCTTTCCCCCTAAGGAGCAGAGTTTTTACAAGGTACAAGAAAGGTCACCGCTTTTGGTTTCACTGTTCCATCAGATGGATAGTTAAACAGTTTTGTTATTGGACTTCGAGCATACATACCCACGACATGACTGGTAATCACAAGCTCTTCGGAGGATGCGATTTGAAATCATTCAGTTAATATTATCGTTTGTTTTCTTAATTTATTCCTAGCATCCACCTAATGTGAAAAACTTTGTTTTTTAAAAGATCAATAGAAACACAACTTTGAGAGCGATGAGGAGTGTTCTGTCTTAGCGTGTGTCTGACTGACAGGCGGCCAGTGCTCACGGGGCCTCAGCTTAGAGCTGCGTGCTCGTGTCCGAGCAGGCAGACAAGTGGGCACCACTTCCGCTACAACAGGCTCACGTTAACGTTAGATGGAGAGGCAAAGTCTTGCGTGTACAGGTTCTAGAATTAAAGCTGCCCGAGAATGAGATCGATGGCTGGATCTGGAGCCTTTTCCTTCCAGGGAAACACGGCCGGGCTTTTTGACAATGGGTTTGTCGCAGGTAGTCCAGCCCCCACTGCTTCTTTCAGCAGGATGCATTCACTCTTGGAGGAGAGGTGTCGATTGTGCTTTCAGGAATCATTCATGTGCCTTAGGGCGGGGGAGCCGCTGCTTCCATTTGATTCCTATGTAACTTTTTTTCTCTTCTCTCTTGGAAGGTTAAGTTCAGACCTCCATAGTGCAATTGGTGAAATAGAATAATTTCTTCCTTCTCCTATTCCAGGACTATGGTGGCTGTAGAGACGGTGAATACCTAGGAAAGGGTGCTCGCCCGTCAGTGCTGCTGTACGAGCAGTAGAACCCCTCCCGCAGTGCGAGCTCATGCCTCTCTCCAATCTTTTGCTTTCAGGTGTAGCAGACGAGGACGCCTTCGAGGAAGAGTGCAGGCGAAGAGGCCAGAATGCGCTGCCCTCCCAGCCCGCCAGCACCAGCGTCCGCTCGCTGAGGTCGCACAGGCCTGCCTCTCTACCCAAACACACATCTCACTATGTTTTTGAGGACGAGGACGAGCAAGGCAGACATCGGGCCACGAGCAACTGGGATCCCTCCATGTTCTCAGCAGGTGTGCAAAGGGAAACTGATGTGGAGCATCCCCAAGGGGATGCCTCCCTTCCTCCCCAAGGCCAGAGAGGACAGAAATCGCTCCTGTGCTGTTGTGTCCTGACTTGAATGGGGCGGGTGGGAGCAGGGGCTGGCGAGAGGCTAGTCAGAGCCAACGGCGGCTGGAGGAGGTGCCCTGGCTCTCGGCTTACCTCCCACGAGACCCCCACGATTAAAGCAGGGTGCCAGTCTTCAATGCTGGTATGAAGTGTGTTGTCTTGGGCAAAGGATCACAGGTGCCACAGAATTGCTAGGTGCTGCTTTTACCTTAAATGCTCCTTTCTGTAACTTTCACCTTAGTGCTTGAGATCTGGGAATGTAGACCGTAGACTGGACACGTGCCTGGCCACTCCCTAAGCTGGCGGGCACCTTCGTCTGAGCACTGAGACACTTGGCATGTGCTGCCCACCCTTCTGCCTTCATTTGTGTTTGATGAAAAGCAAGGCCCCCGTGGAGTGCAGTCCTGGTGTAAAGTTGGTGGGTGCTGGTCCACACCTCCAGGTGAAGCTGCAACCTTGAATCTCCTCCACTTCTAGATGCACCGGCTGTTCATTTTTCCAGAGCCCAGCTCTGCCCTCTTCCAGCTTCTTGACTTGTCTTTTTTTACAGAGCCCAGGATGGGTCTTTGAAGTGAATTCACCATAGAAAGTTGTGGATTATCTCTGAGGGTGTGGCTGTGCATGTGGGTTGCACCCTGACTGAGTTCTAAAGCCCAAAGTAAATTTAATTGGAATTATTATTAGTTTGAAGCATTTGTGCCATCTTGATTCTCACCTCTGGAAGTCACCAGGTTGGCCATAGCACATTATGTGGTGGAGGGAAATACTGATCCTAGGTCCTCTGTGTCAGGGTGACATCTAAGTGTACATCATGAGGTTAATTTTGTGGACTGAGGGCAAAGCAGCGTTATCTAAGCAATAAGTTCCACTCCCAGACCTTTCTATTGGGCAGTTAGTCCCTTAAAGTCCCTTCTGGACCTTCTCAGGTAAAGCAGAGGTGTCTGTTAGGGTTTTGAGGAGGACAGAAGGAAATGTACGCTCCACCTGAAGGTGAGTGTCCTGGGGCCTCGGGCCATGGCACAGATCCCTCCGGGGTTGTGTGGACCCAGCCATCAGCTCTGCCGTGGAGAGGTGCCAACAAAAGCAGATGGACCATTTGGAGACATTAGCCTTTTCCTGTGTAATTGATTGAAAACAGAGGCAATTGGAAGGGCCAAATGAATTCAGAAGGAGCTCATTCTGCCTTGACTGGGGGTGTGGACATTTTCCCAGGATCTATTGTCAACTCCAGGTACTGAATGGTCTTAGGGCAGGCTGGGGAGGACGGTGTGCTGTCAGGGGTCTTGGCAAGGGGCACGGTTGTGAGTTCAGTCTTCCTGAACAAATACTGTTTGAACAGTGAGTTAATGGGCTACGTCCGTTTGGTTGGAAGGACACCATGAACCTACTGACTACGGAATATTGCAGCTCCCAAGAATAAGGTGTGCGGGTATGGACCTGCCTGGCAGTCTTGTTCACATGCATAGCCAGCCTCCTGGAATAGGACGTGGAGCCAGCGCCAGCCGACTGGCCCGAAGGGCATATACTGAGTTCAGATTAGGCCCCTCCTTCCCTGTTGCTGTGGATTCCCAAAGACCATGCCTGTTGAGTGAAAGATAATTTGCCACCACTGGCGAATCTTGGGAAAGTAGGATTTAGTAGAAAAACAGAAATTAACGTGAGACTTTAGGGGAGAAGATTCAATTTCTGTAATCTGGGGGTTCTCCTTTCTACTGGCACAATGTTTTGCATTTTTGCAGAATCCGCTTGCAGCTCTTCACCCACTTTTGCAGAGTCTGGGCACGAGGCAGTAATAAGGATGTGGAACAGGGTCCATCCTGGTGCAGACGCCACCAGGATGCTCCTGCTTTAGCACCGCGAGTCCCACTTCCCATGAAGCCTCGTCTCGGGGAAACTTCCATGGCCCTTGGCAGGCTCCTGTGTGCCCCAGTGTGGTCTGTGTGCCACGCAATACTCTTTCTGCTGCATTGCCACCTCTTGGGTAATTATTTTTAAAAAGAAGCACATAGTAGGGGCCTTGGTTACCCAGGAAGTGTTAGGTACCCCCACTCTGCTTTAGCTGTTCAACCAGCCGCTAGGCGAAGATGCCCTGGAGCCCGCTAGTGACAGTGCGGGGTGGAGGCAGCCTGGCAGTTCTGGGAAGCCACTATTTCAGGCTAAAAATGAGCTCTCGCTTGAGAGGCATTCCTCAAACGTGGAATTTTTAGCTGGTATGAGGATTTCCTATCATTGTGGTGTAGCTAATATAATTCAGCGTCAGGATGCAACTGAAGGGACCTGGGGATGTCTGTGGTTCGAAGCAGGCAGTGGTGATTCTCTTTCAGCCCGAACGGTCATTGTTTAGGGAGCTCTGGCAGTGGTGTGGCTGTGGGTGAGTGTGATCTGGATTTGACTTGCTGGCATTTGTGTTTTGTGAACATGCTGTTACGTTAAATCACTAACCTCCTGTGAGACCCACTCCGCTTCATCTGAGAGGATAGGGCCTGCCTCTCGGAGCCAGCGAACCCTGCAGTAAGACGCTGACAAAGGATTAGTGTTTTCATTTGTGAATGGCACACATCCTGTGGGTCTGTCAAGAACATCTAACTGTTAAAAGAGAAAATTAAAATTATTCAACATGAAAATAATTCATGAATGAGAAATAAAATTGATCCTTTAACTTTTTTTGCTTCTATTTGTGTGGTTTGAAGAAAGCCCCTCACCCAGGAATGCTGTAGCTGCTGCCCTGTGCAAAGCGGAGCATGGCGCTCACGGGGCTAATGCGCGTAGTTAACCTGGAGTGGCTTTGACCGCTTTTGAAGTTTGTCTTTTTAAAGAAACTAACTTATGCATCTATACCTGCTTCTCTTATAAAACTTTCAGCAGTTCTTTAGAAGGTGTTTTTTCTCTATGGGACCTATAACAAACCTTGTCGTTGCCGTGGGAACTCTTGGAGTCTGTGAGGGTCAGTCTGAGGTAGGGCTGCCAGGTGTCGGATGTTCCAGACCCGCCGGGAGCGAAGGGAACAGCCGCCTCGGGTGCTGCTCGACTGCATTTCCTCTGTAGGGAGTTTGGGGGACAGGAAGACTTCCTTTTTCTTGGTTGTTTTTTACTTAAACATTGACCAATTTAATAAAATACCAAAGCAATTGTGGTTTGCGGTGGAGCCGTGTGCTCTCCACTTCCCCACGGACCTGACCTCGTCCTTTCATCCTGCGACGTGGGGACCTGCCTGCCTCGGAAATCTCAGGGCTCTTTGGAATCGTGACCTCTGAGAGTAGATTCCTCAACACTAGAAAGGAGGTCTTTTTTTCTAATAAACACCTGTATTCTCTGTTCTGGGTCAGGGCCTTGGTTAACGTTGGTTTTGGTGAAGGTGGGGATGTGAAAAGCTGCCCTGTTGGGTGGCGGGGCAGGTAGACTTCGGGTTTCCCTTCGAGGCTTGTCGACACAAGTGGCTAGAACCGGGTGGGCTTAGGGTGGGCCTAGGTGGGTACCTGGGCTGTGGACACGGCCGCACTCTTGCAGACCCACAGCTTGGAGCGTTAGTCATGGCAGAGCTGTGCTCTGTGTCCCCTCGTGCCCAGACCCATGGGCATGTTTCACTCCATTCCCCTCCATCTGAGGCCTTTGCTGCAGACGCAGTGTGTGTAGGGCCTGTTTGAATAGGTGGGGACAGAGATTCTTCATTCAACGTCTGTTTCCTGACATGGTTTTGGAGAGGATTTCCTACCAGACAGACTGGGCTCCTAGGGTGAGTTAGACTTCCTGTTCTGGGTTCAGCTGCGAGCACTTGCCCCTGCAGTGGTGGGAGGACCGGGCCCTCGGGGTTGCTTCCTGAACCGCACTGTCTCAGAGAGAGAGGGTGGCCCAGGGTGACTCCAGCTCCGCCTGCCTGGGCTCCAGTGGGCGGCGCGGGCCTGTCGGGCGTGTGCATCTTCACCCCTCGGGCCCTGGACTGTGGCTGGGGGCCGCTTGGGATTGCCAGGCGGGCGCCTGCCGGGTGGAACGTTTCTGGCCGGTGGACGGAATGTGTAGCAGCTCCATGGACGGGAGTCTTGTCGTTTGTGCCGGAATTCCTTTGGTTTGTCTGAGGTTATCTTTCTGTGGTCGTCTTAAAATTAAAACTGCCTTGTAGCAGAAGTGGCATTTTAGTGAGAAATTTGAGTGAGGAATTGATTCCCCAGGCCCCATGCTGTGACAGTAGGTGGTCTCCGGGAAGGAGCCGGGGTCGCAGTGGATCACGGGGACACGGGCTGGAACCTGGAGGCCCTGGAGGACAGCTCAGCCCAGCTCCACCTGCTGTGTGCTCTGGGGCTTCGCAGTCCCTTCTGGGTCAGGTGTGAGGATTTCATGACTGGAGGAAGCGGTGTGGGGCCCAGGTCAGGCCCGGGCTGTGAGCTCTCCATCTTGTCGAGGGAGGCAGGAGAGGGTCACTGGGTCTGCCAGCATCTGCGCCCCAGGAGCCTGTCTGCCGCCCTTGGCCCAGCCCTTGTACTGCCTGCCTACCCCACAGTGGTTCTTCCGGGTCCTTTGGCTCCCTCTCCCGCCCTTGGGTGCTCATACTCGAATTTGAAAGTGACAGTTGCATAAAGGGACGCGTGGATCAGAATCTGGACAGCGCGGAGCCGAGAGAAGGACTGGACTTCTCACCTTGCTCGCTGGGCTTCTGGGGCTGCAGGACCATCAGGGATGGGAGAGATTCCTTGTCACTGGGTGGTTAGCAGTTTTTCTTTCTCTTATTTTCGGCTCCTTTTACATGTCCTTGAGTCTGGGGGGAGGAAAAGAGGCTGTGCTCGTCTACCTGCATGGGGGACCTTTAGGAAGTTACGCCTTCAGGGAGTCAGAAGCCAGGAGGCCACTCAACCCCGCAGTCAGTCGAGTTGCCCAAGTAAGCACAGCTGAGGTCTCTGAACCCCGTCCACGGTCCGTGTTCATGGGGTGGCCATGTCCTCCTTGAAAAGGCCTTTGCCTGCACCCCTCACAGCCGCCCTGGGGACTGATCACAGGAGCAATCGCTGTGGAGGTTTTCTCCATGGAAGACCCATCTGGGACTGCATGTGGCCCTCCTGATGTCACCCTCTGTTAGTACCTACAACCTGTGATCAGGGTGTAGGGCACACTGCCAGCTTCCGAAACCTGCTCCGTCCCATTTTGATGCCTTGGGGGATGTTCTCTCTTCCTCTGTTGCACCCTAGCATCACTGCTGTTTGGGTCCCAGGCCCCCTGGAGTCACCTCTGGGCTGGGACTGTGAATGAGGCCTTCTGCCCGCCCCGCCCTGCCGTGCATCATGCCGTGTGCACCTGTGTCACTTAGCCATTTGTCTTCTTCCTCCCCATTCAAAACATCAAGGTGACTTTCCTCAACATGTGGCCCTGGTGGCTTAGTGTTTGGCAGGTGGCAGCCCCTGTTCTCTGCATTGGGCAGCCAGGCCCTTGGGCCGCACGGTACCCTGGGAAAGGGGCGGCCTCTGACGCACTTGCACAGCAGCCAAAGTTGAGTGGTCGGTGAGGGATGGCAAGTGTGGGGCCCTCTGCCTCCCTGAGATGGGAATGAAGAGGCCCTGGAAGCCTGTTCGGTAGAGGCCCTTGGGCTTTGCGTCCCTGCTAGCCGCGGCGGCAGTGAGCACCTTGGAAGGCAGGCTTCCCTCTGGTGATGGGTAGATGGCGGTTGTCAGCCAGGCACCGGCCCGGGTCCAGATCCCGTCATGAGCGGCTGTGGGCACCCATCTCACGGACACAAGGGCCCCAGTCCACCTGTGGTTGTGATGCTGCCAGAAGGGACGTCCCAGAGTGGGTGGATGAGCATCGTGCCTACCCCTGGCGCCTGTTAACAGACTGTGCCGAGTTCTGTCTAGATTGGTTGTGCTCTTAAGTGTCACCTTAGACTGTAAATCTCAAGAATGCTTTTAGATGGTCTGGCTTAGGGGCCCACCTGTACTAAGTCACAGACCCACAGTGACGTGGTCTGCTTCCATTCCTCTGTTCTGTTCCGGTCAAGCCATTTAAATTGATCTTTTGATACCTAAATTCAACTTCTGGTCTGGTTCCTACCCAGGTGTGTGCTCGTCCACCCACATCTGAAGGACTGATTGAGCACACGGTCCTAAGCCATTTCTGCAGAACTGAAGCTGGAGTTCTTATTTTGGGCTCTGTGGACAGATTCTCCAGAGGGTGAGCAGGGCCCGTCCGTCTGTCATTCTCCTTTGGCTCAGTCAGGCAGTTGTTGGCTTTGAGCACACGACACAGGGAAAGTGGACAAGTCCTGTCCTCATGTCGGAAATGGGCACCTTTCCCACGCTGAGCACCCAGAACCTGGGAGAATGAGCCACATCCACAGCAGTCTTCTCCCTGCAGAGCGGACTCTGCTCGGGCCAGAGCTGGAGGAGGCCTGTCACCTAAGCCGGAGCCAGCTCTGCTCAGGTCGGGGACAGGGTTGTCAGTCTCCAGGTGGGACCCCGGGCCAGGTCCTCAGACAGACGTGAGGACTCAGCAGAGGGGTTAAGTAAACCTGGCTGCTGGGCGGGTGGAGGAGGGGCCTGGCCGAGAATGCCAGCCTCTGCGTGGCTGTGACACTCTGGATAACGTTACAGGTTTCCAGTGCGTGGTTCAGAAAGTCAGTCCATGTGCTTCTTGAGCTGTAGGTGCCGCCCAGGTGGAAGTGAGGATACATGACTGTATTGTGGTGTTTTGTTTTTTAACGTGGGGGAGTGTTAAGAAATGTGTTTGCCTCTTACTGGGGGAGCAGCTGCTGTTCTGCACAGTGTTTCACAAGCCGTGTTTTCTTAGGATTCAAAGAAGGTGGCAAGAGGAAGAAGCAGAAGCAGAGAGAGGAGTCGAAGAAGAAGAAGTCAACCAAAGGGCACCCCTAGACTGGACTTGGCGGATGCGCTGGCTCCGCCCGAGCCTCGGCGCCCAGGCTGCTCTGTGGTTGTGCGCACGCGTTAGGTAGCGGCATCTGCTTCACCTCTGTCCCAAGACCACACCTCCTCAGCATCGGGGACGCTGATCACGGATCAGCCAGATTAGGGACGGTGGGAGACGGGAGAGATGGTCCTGGGTGGCGATGGCAGAAATGCAGAACCCGCTAGACCGTCTCTGCTTCTCCCCAGCACTAAATCCGACAGTGTTTCCTCTAGCGTGGTCAGCAGTCAGCTCCTTCTTTCAGCTGTCCAGCGCCATGCAGCCTGCTGCCACAGCCATGGCTGCAGAGGGCTGGTGAGGTGCAGACCGGTACCTGAGTGCGCATCCCCCGAACGGCTTTCCTTCCTCGCAGCAGCACAGTGTTTGAAACTAGACTGTAGTCGAGTATAAGGTGACTTAAAGGTGACGTCAATCCCATGCTGAATCATGACCCTCAAGGGGACTTTCTCTCAGTCCAGGGAGCCAGACCTTCAAAGCAGCTCCTTAGAGTGACCTGGCCGCTCGCTTAACCTGCCAGCCCACTGGTGAGTCATTTCAGATGTAAAGTCCTTCCATATATTTACGGTTTTAATTTTAATCCTCTCCAAGTAGTCCAAATTCTACTTCAAATATTTAATTTTTGCTGAATTCCATCTTTTTTCCTGGAATCCACAATTGTTCTTTTTAGCATGAACACAGGATTCTACAAAATTTTGTTCAGTAGTACCATCTCTGGCTCTTAGTTTAAGGTCATGCTGGGGAAAAACACATGACTTATTTACACACACACACACACTCTCGGATATTGAGCAAGTACACTAAGTATTTTAGTTTGTAAACGTTGGCACCTTTGAAACATCGCTTTATTCCAGCAAGCCCCTCCCCAGTGTCCTGTGATTGCTTCTTTGCGTGGCAGCTTGCTTCCTGCCCTTGGTTTTCTCAGCACCGACGAGCTCTGGTGCCGCCTGGCTGCGCCCTGCATGCCGCAGCACCTGCCCCCTCTAACAGAAGTGCTGCTGCTCGCGCGGCCTGTCCCTCTGCTCTCTGGGAAGGGAGGGTACTGTGGAAAGCTTGGATGTGATTTGAAAATGCCAGCAACTTTAATCTAGCAGAGGCAAAACCTGGGAAATTTTGGGCCCAATCCTAGTGGCAGTGCCGTGGGCTTGGAAGGCAGAAGTGAGTGTAATCTTTGTGGTTTCAAGATGATGGTTACAGAGAAGTTTGCTTTGTTTGTTTATTTGGTTTTGGTGGGGAGGTGGTATGGACTGTTGGGTGAAGAGTGGACTGCTATTTAATGCTTGTTGTGGAAAATGTAACCATCAAAGCGTAACAGTGTTTTAAGTGCTCCCGACGTAAATAAAATGTAAGTGTAATTTTCTGCTGCTCACTTGCCATCATTTATACATATCAGTCAGTCGCACTGTTATTAGTAATTAAAATAAAAGCATTTCTTCTCCATTTCAATTATGAAAGATAGTGATATTTTGAGAGCAAAAGCTGGATTCTGGACTGCGTTACTGTAAGGTGAACATGTTGTTTTAAAGATAACATTCCCACTGTGAATTCACATTGTGTGAAACCAACAGCTCGTGCTGACGCTAATGGAAGCACTGGAGAGGACGGGAGGGACATTCCTATCAGACTGTCCTGGCCGCAGACAGTGAGCACGACAAGACCACCCCACGTTTGCAGCCCTGTCATGGAGTCATGGCCCTCCTGCGATACAGGAGAGGGCTTGATGAGATCCCCGCTCCTTGTGAGGCCCTCCACAGACAGCGCTGCAGGGCGTGGGGCTCCTCTCAGCTGCTCACGTGCCAGAATCTGACTGCTCCTGGGACCTGGGGAGGGAGGCAAGCATTTCTGCGGGCGCGAAGAAAGTTTCTAGCACTTGGCCCCCGCTGTCCTTCGAGGCCCGAGACACAGGAACTGTGTCTGTGGGGTGGTGCCAGGGCCATGAATGTCTTCAGGCTGCACACGGAACCAGCTTTCATCAAGCAGCCAGGCCCCTCGGCTTCACGTGACCCTGCCATGCGCGCCCACTCACGTCCAAAGGCAGCTCCCGACCTGCTCCTCAGAGAGTGGGAGATTCCCCAGCCCCAGAGGCCGGGGCCACGAGGTAGGTACCTGCTTCACAGGTGAGAAGACGGGCGTGCAGCTGCCCTGCAGAGGTGCCGAGCCAGACCTGTGTCTGCTGGCTGTCCATCCCTTGGGCCCCCCGCTTGGATGGCCCTGAGGGCGTGTTTGCTGCATACAGGTGGGCGAGGCTGCTCATCATTACTGCCTCCTACTTGGGGGAGTCTTCAGAAGACAGGGTGCTGCTCTGGGGGCGCTGGGTGTTGGGGAGGGTGGGGTCCCAGCACCTGTGTGCACACAGGTAGCTCTCACTTTGCTGTGGCTCACCAGTGGCAGCTGTTGAAATGATCGTGGGGGGAGGAGGGCCCTGTGCATGGCCTCGTGATCTTCCAGGTGGTGGTTCTTGGGTGCTGGGTGCACATCCAAGGGTGGCGAAGGGTAAAGAAGGGTGGGGGGTGGGGTGGGGTCCCAGCCTCCAACTGCAGCTTCTTCACCCCAAGGGCCCCTCTGGGGACAGCTTGTGGGACTGGGCACGGAGGGTGATCCTGGTCCTTCACACCACCCGGGGTTCTCTGTTACCCTCTTTCCCCTGTGTCAGGAGGATTAAGGGCTGCAAAACTCACTGTAGACAAATACTTTTAAACATTTACTTTGAAATGCCTCCACTTTCACAGGAAGTTGCACAAATAGTACTAAGAGGTCCGGCATGCCCTCACCTGGGGTCCCCAGTGTAAGTGGAGCGTCAAAACCAGGAAAACGACACGGTTCGATCCACGGGGAAACACCCTCAGAGGATTGTTCAGAGGCTCAAAAAAATGGGACCATAACATTAATAATCATACCAAATTTTGTCTTGCTTTTGCCAAAATGAGGTTTTATTTGGAATCTGAAAGTAAGGAGTCCTAAGAGTGATCACGTTTGGAATGCACATTCATGTTTCCATCCCTTGCTGGTGGTCCTGGTCACCCAGGTTGCCTCTGGGGTGTTTCTGCACCGAGTTGCAAGCACAGAGACCTCCCGGGGCCTCCCGTCAGGGTGCCAGGCCCTCTCTCGGTCTTCCTCACCATCTGATGCTGCCACACACAGTGCCACCCAGGGACTGTCCTCTTGTGGGTTGTCCGGCCCACAGTTGACCACTGGTCTCTGGGAGCATGGCCCACTTGGGGTGGCCCCTGCTGGTGCTCAGGTCGAGTCAGCACAGGTGTCATCCTGTGAGCCTGAGGGGCACAATGTGACGGCGTGGCCTGTGGACCTGGAGTGGACAAGAAGCCACCTGGGCTGGTTACTGCAAGCCACAAAGCAGAAGGCCCGAGGCGCCACTTGGGCAGGCTGGTGCCTCCCTCAGTGGCCAGGCCCAGAGGACGTCCTGGGGCTGTGGCAGCCAGGCCCACTGCCCCTTCCCCTTGACCTTTAGTGCCACCTCGATCTCCATGGGGAGCACTTTGCCGTCATGGCGCCCATAGCACCGAGCAAAGGCATTAACGGCTGGGTGAGGGAACACGGCCTGGGCAGTGCCTACCAGGTGCGAGCCCCCTCCTGACCCCGTCACCCTGTCAATCACTGAAGGTGAAATGAAATCAACATGTCCTGCCATCTCTGTGGATGGAAGAACAGAGGGCAGCCCCAGCTGAGCTGACCGAGACACAGCCACACGCTGCCAGGGGGAGACTGGCAGGAGCTCAGGACCCGGTCAACCCAAGGAGGCAGCCAGTGCTGGGAAGGGCCAGGTGTGAGCAGCTGTGGGACGGTCATAGGGTTTCCAGGCCAAGGCAGGCAAGGCCAAGAGCCAGTGGGCCGAGAGAAAATGCCCGTAGGTGGGTGGAGGGGCCCTCCCTGAGGGAAAGAAGTCACAGAGGGTCCTTTGCCCAGGGAGGAGGCAGGGTGGGGCCCTGCTGTGGTTGGGGGTGGGGGTCACCTGTGAGGGGTGGGCCCTGTGGGTGGACAGCCCGTCCCCTCACTTGTGGAGCTGAGACAAGATTGGGTTCCTGGAGAATTCCGTGGTTTCTTCTCACCATGAACTGAGGAGGGGTCTGGCTGCCTTCTGGGTGGGTCTGCCCCTCCCTTGCCCCATCGCACCTGCTCCAGGCTGACCTCTCACCGCCCTCCCTCGGCCTGAGGGCCTCTTCATTGGGTGCGCTGGCAGCCCTGCCTCCTCGTTGAGAAGCCCGTGTGGACCCGTGTTTCCCCAGGGCCTACCCTAGCTGGGCCTCTGCAGAGGGGACCTGACAGGCAGTCTGCTGGGATTGCAGGTTGCCCAGGCGAGGCGGCCAGGCGCCCTGGCCATGTTCTCACCCCAGCTGACTCCTGGGAGGTCCCTGCCCTTTGGAGACTGGCCAAGCGAGTCAGCCCAGGCCAGGAGTAGAAGGGCCCGTCTCCGGCCTAGAGGTTCAGGCTGCCTCTCCCACCCCACAGGGCCGGGCGAGAGAGCTTTGCCTCCCACTGTAGGGAGCCGGGTTCCCTTCAGGCTCTTCCCACCAACTCCCGGGAGTCACTCCTTGTCGGTTAAGGCCAGGAGCATCGCTGGAAATGCAAGTGCCCAGGCTGGCACTCGCGTCTTGTGTCTCCCTTCGCTCGCCTGTTGGGCTAGAAGTGGCCTCCCTCCACCGGGTCAGCGGGGATGGAGCCAGAGCCTGCCTGCAGCCGTTGGGCCTCTACTGCAGGGAGCACGGTGCCTGGCGTGCCCCCACCCCCCCCCCCATACTGTTCCACAGGACGGTCGACATCCAGCCCAGCGCTTTGCGCAGAGCCTGCTAAATACATATGTTTTGAGGAAAGGAATGGGTGATTGGCTCCCAGCCTGTGGAGGAAGGACCCATCACCACCTATTCCAAAACTTTGCCATGCACGAGCTGCTTTGAAATTTTTTTATCCTGGTAAAATACACATAATGTGAAATTTGTAACTGCTTTTCAATGTACACTTCAGTGTTGTTAAGCCCAGTAACGCTGTTGTGCACTCGTTACCACCATCCGTCTCCAGAACTCTTCATCTTCCCAAACCGAACTTCTGTCCTCATTAAACACTAACTCCCCATGCGCCTCCCCCGGCCCCCACCATTCTCCGTTCTGTCTATGACTGATGATTCTTGGGACCTCAAATAAGTGGAAGCCTGCAGTATTTGTCACTTTGTGACTGGCTTATTTCACTCAGCATGATGTCCTGTAGGTTCATCCACGCTGTGGCATGTGTCAGGAGCCCCTTCCTTTTTTAAGGCTGAGTCGTGTCCCTTGTATGAATGGACCATGTTCCACTCGGTCATCCATTCGTCCGTCTGGGCGCCTGGTTGCTGGCACTGAGCTGCTTCTGACCTGTGTCGTGAGTTGGAAGCTGCAGCGGTATCTGTTTGGGGACACGTCCTGTTTCTGTCTGGGGAGGTGTGTGCTGTGTGTTTCTGTTCCTGCCCCTTTGGTGGCTGTTGGGCCATCCTGCTGCCTGGGAGTCAGAGCTGAGGGCAGGATTGAATTTGGGGTCCCCTGCAGCCCAAAGAGGGTCTCAGGCACCGGGCAAGTTGCCCTCAGGGGCCTGACTTGGCCTGTTCCCGCCAAGCCTGACCGAGGCTCCAGCCGAGAACTTTCCTCACTCCTTCCCGGGGCCAGCTGGCTGGGGAGAGACACTGTGCCCGGTGCCTGCTGCCTGCGCACAACCCCTCGGGCCACCCTGGCCGCCTTTCAGGGGCCGGAATGAGGCTGTCTTGGTCTTCAAAGCTGGCCACGGATCCTGGGCACCTGATTTTCCCCGCTGACTTTTCCCTGCCCACCCTGGAGCTGGCAGGGCAAGGCAGGGTGGAGAGAAAGCGGGTCCCAGGCCCCTAGCAGGGCGGCTTTGTGTTGGTGGAGGACGCCGGGCACGGGCCCCTCCCTGGGCCTCCGTGGTTAGGACCGGCCTCCGCCCTGTCCCCTCCAACTCTCACTGGCCACCCACAGAAGGTCACCTGGGAATTACGTCCACACCTGCCTGCGCCCAGGGCACCTGGTGCTCCCCATTTGCCCATCGCCACCCACTTTGCCCCATCAACACGTTTCAGTCAACATGGTTCTCGCTGAGTCTGAGTGGCTTGGGGTGTGGGTGGGGAGTGACCAGGAGCCTGCCTCTAGGGTATGTGCACATTGAAGATGCCCTAGTGTGGCACTGGCTCCAGGACAACTCTAGGGGTGACCATGCTGTTAAGGCAGGTGTCCGTCTTCTCGTTATGGTCACGTCTCGAAGCTTTATCACACTGACCACAGTTATTGCACACAGGGGCGAGGCCCTGCCAGCCCAACGCAAGACCAGTTCCTGGCAGAGCCCTGTCTGGGCAAAGGGAT